CCCCCGGCTCCCGGCTCCCGGCTCCCGGCTCCAGCGGTGACGCGCGCGGCCGCTGGGGGGAGCCAGCGCGCGGCCGCGGCTCTGGGCTAGCCAGGGGCACCCCCGGCCTAGGTCCCCACGGCCGCACTCCACGCGGCTTCCTGGCTGCCACCTTGCCTCACCCTGTTAGACCCTCCGCTGGGAACAAGCGCCGGGACAGGTGGAAAGCAACCTGCGATAGCTTCCAGGGAGTAGACGCAGCCGTGTCCCCGCCAGCTCTCCCGAGTTTGTGGGGGTCGGAGAGGAGCGGCAGGGGACACTTTCCTGAGATCTGGTGATGGATTGAAAGCCGGGGGCTGGTGCTGAAGATGCGGGACGCCGGGAAAAGGATAGTGGTCTGGTGGTCCCACTTGTGGAAGGATGCACGACCGCGCTCCCACCCGCCATCTCACTGGGCATCCTGCGCAGCCAAGTGGGTCCCCAGAGGAGGGACCGCCGAGTGCTGTCTTGTGAGCCATTTCCCAAAGGCTACGGCGAAGAGAGAGAAGGGCAGCCAATGCCGGGACCCGCCATGTTCAGGACGCGGGACCAGCCCCACTGCGATCCCCCAAGTCCCCTGGATCACCGCGGACCCTTGGGAAAGCCCCTGAAAGGGGAGGAGCCCGGTCAATCCGAGGCTTCCTGCCCTCTTTCTTCTTGCTTTTGCCCCTTGAAGCACTTAGGTGTATCTGTTGAGAGTTCAAGCAAAAAGCCCGTTGGGGTCCCAGCAGCTGGGAGAGACTGCAGGTGCTGAAGGGGCCACAGTTTGTAAGAAGCTCCCAAGTTCCAGTTTGCGGCCGCAGTGGCAGTGGGGACCGAGGCAGGGGGCGGGGGTGGGGGTGGGGAACTATGTCTCGGAAATACTGGAAAACCAGCCTGGAACCCTGGAGGACAGAGCTTCATCGCCCATGACTCTGTTTGGGAAGAGGTTGTTCATTCACGAGATCCAGCAGGGATACTAAAGACATCCTTAGCATTTCCGTCCCCAGGTGACTGAGCAGAGAAAGCGCCAGGCGGAAAAGGACTCTCTGGGATCCATGGGCTGGTGTGGAGTGGATTTTCCCGGCAAGTCTAACAGGAGAAGGAGGGATGAATGCTAGCCCACCTCTTGGGTGAATGTCCAGGAGAGCCTGCACCCTAGGGGCGTCGCTTAGAGAACTGGCCAGCTGTAAAGGCTACCTTGTGTGGGGCTGCATCTGACCATTTGGTTTAAGGTGGATGGGGTTGGAGGAGACACAGTGGTCCAGGTAAGGCTAATGACAGGTGATTGCATTTCACTGGAGCAGAGTCGTGTATTATATATATAAATAAAAATATGATATTTATAAATTATATATATAATACACGACTCTGCTCCAGTGAAATGCAATCACCTGTCATTAGCCTTATTGTTAAGTGCAGTAGAGTCAGAGCCGACTCAAAGTGACCCTGTATAGGGTTTCCGAGGAGCAGCTGGTGAGTTTGAAGCGCAGACCTTGTAGTTTGAACCTACCTTGTGGCCCAGTGCTTTATCCCACAGCACCACACCAGGACTCATATATATATTTTTTTGTGTGTGTGTGTGTGTTTTTCTCCTTAAAACACCTTTATATTGTGAATTGAGTGAAGGTTTATAGAAAAGATTATATTTTATATTCAACAAATGATTAAACACTTTGTTTCATCTCAATGACTGCAGTCCTTCTCCACCCCCTCCCTGTGGCTCCTGTTTCTATCCTACCCACCTTCCCATCTCTTCCACACTTTTTGGCCTCAGGTGAAAGTTGCCCTTTTGGTTTTGAACGATTGATCATTCCATGGTGAGCACACCTTGGTTGTGTTGTGCTCCCGATATACCTATCTACTGCTTGCCTGAAAATTGGGCCACGAGGGTGAGTTGCTTTCCAGACCTGATGGGTGGTCGAGGGCTTCCTCCAGTGTCTTTCTGACCAGTAAGCCAGGTTTATTTTTATAATTTTGAGTTTTGTTCCTCCTTTTCCCCCACTGTATCCAGGACCTTGTAATGCCATCCCTGTAGGAACAGTTGGTAGTGACCGTTGGGCACCATCTAGTTCTTTTGGTCTCAGCAGACCTCAGTTTTGTCCTGATCCTCTAGTGTGCATAGAAATAGTTTGAGCCAGTTTTATATTTTAAGACATGATGGGAAGCAAAATGACAGTGCTTGCTTGTAAAGTACTGTGAGCTCATTTAACAAGGGAGGAAAAAAAACAAGCCCAAGGCCACTACCATCGATTCCATTCCAACCCATAGGGCAGAGTGGAACTGCTCCACAGACTTCCAGGGCCTGCAATTCTGCTTTACAGACACAGACTGCCTCATCTTTCTTCTGTGGAGTGGCTTGTGGGTTTGAACTGCCAGACTTGAAGTTAGAAGCCCACCGCTTAACGCATTGTGCCAACAAGGGAGGAAGGAGGCATAAAAGGGTGAAAGTTGGGGTTGATGGGGGATAGACAGGAATCACATGTGTGGTCATTTAAGTTCCACAGATGCCACCTCAGGTTTTATCGGATCCATTTTATGGTTGGAGAAACCAAGTCTCAAAGAGGCCCAACCCTGTCCCTACTTAGCCAGGTGATGGGAGGCCCACTGGTCCCACATGGGTCCTCTGATTTACCAGTAGCCCTTGGGACATGAAGCACAGGACAGGCTCTGGTTTCGGGTTTCATCCTCACAGAGCTGCCCCTGGAGAAATGCTTGTAGCACTGAAGGTGACTGTCCTCCCTGAAACACTGATGTCCACGCCTGTGGTTTGGGAATAGCTGAGCAGATTGGCATCGTTATCAGGGGGACTATACAATTTGTTGAGCTCTGGTAGCATGGTGGGTTACAAATCGGGCTACTAACCATGAGGAGGTCTGGTAGCAGGGTGATTATAAATCAGGCTGCTAACCTCAAGGTCAGCAGATCAAAAATACCATATGTTCTGTGGAAGAAAGATGAGGCTTTCTGCTCCCATAAAGATTTACAGCCTCAGAAACCCTATACAGTGTCGCTATGGGTCAAAACCTCTCCACAGTTCATAACTGCCACCACCATTCTATTTGTCATATGGAGATATAAAAGAGTGCAGTTTTTTGGTTGCTGTTGTTTTGAGATGGAGAGAACTATTGCTGGGACAAGACATTAAACTGACACTGGTCAGGAAATAGGGACATGGATAATGGTCATCTTCATGATCACCTAGCTACTACACACTCTCTGATTGCCTCCTTAAGATGCTAAAGCCAAGTTTTAGTTCCAAAATTGAAGATGACCTAAATTTACTACAAGAGGGGACGCACTAAGTAAATCATGCCTAATTCACTGGTGGATATGCAATGCAGCAAAAATCTCGATAGTTATGAAGATTATATTGAAAAATGGAAATATTTATGCTACATGTGATCATTTTAAGTGAGAATGAAGAGTGTAAAATGATAACCACACTGCGGCTATAAGTCAAACCCACCAGATGCTCCTGGGGAGAAAGATGGGGTGTCTGCTTCAGTAAAGACTTAGAGTCTCAGAAACGCTAAAGCACAGTTCTGCTGTGTCCCTATAGGGCTGTTATGAGTCAGAACGGACTCAGTGGGAGAATGTGCTGGCCATGGTGTCTGTGATAACAATGAAGGTGTACATAGGAGAAAACATAAAAAGAAAGCACACGGTTACCTTTCTGCTAGATCAGGTAGGTGTTCTCACTCTTCTCCAACTCGTGGCTCCCCAATTTTCTTCAGCAGTAGGAGGATGGGGGCACAGGTGGGGAAAAGAGTTCTTCTTCCATCATCTCTGGAAATACTGCAAAGTTCAACTCTAGCAGGGGAGTGAGCCTACACAGCTCTGAGAATGCAGCATGAGGGCTGCTGTTAGGGCCCTCTGCCTCCTCCACCTCAGAGTCAGTTTCACCTCATAGCCTCATAGCGACCGTATGCACCACAGCACAAAACACCACCCAGTCCTGTACCATCCTCACAATCTCTGTGGTGTCAGTCCATCTCCTGGAGGCTCTTCCTGTTCTGCGCAGACCCTCCGCGTTACCAAATAGTGTGTCCTTCTCCAGGGACATCTATGAACACTGTGTAGAGGTTACATTTTTGTCGTCATTATTTCCTTTCATTTGATTTTCACATCGTTTGAAAAGGTAAGCATTGTAGTTATAATGAAAAAATATTAGCAAA